ACTAAATATTAGATAAATTGTTAGATAAAACACATTCCTAAGTTCAAATAAAGGTTCCGAAAACTTTTGGAAGGTGAAAGGCTGGTTATCATAGTAAAATTTTGGGTTTCGTCCGAGCTCACGGGACTCGTCAGTTGGCTTTTTTGCGAAAACTTCACATTTGAGCACTGCCAGTACCCAAGAAATCCTTAGATAATTCTAACTAGGTATTTCTGGAGTAATTAATTAATAGAAAGAAATTAACGGAAAATTAAAAAAATCCACTTGTCTCTTTTCACGACTCTCCCGTATTCCCATCATCGTCTCTATCCAAAGTCTCCGAGATACCCAACGCCATCTCCACCAGGCTTCTTCCGTAGCGTGGTGACGGATTGTTCAAGCCGGCTTCCGAAATTCTATATCGCTCTAAAACGAAAAAAAAGGCAAGACAAAACGAGACAATAGCACAGCATTTATTTATTTAATTTATTGGTTTAATACTTATTCCGCAGCCAATAATCTAAAGTCTCCACCAGGCTCGTATCCATCGCGTGTTCAAGCCGGCTTGCTTCCGTAAACCTTAAGCTAGAAAATTAAACAAGTCGCGAGCAATAAGTAACATTTCAAGATAAACTTTTACCTCCATTCTGAACCGTTCTAAAGTCAAACAAGTTAAACACGACCACCGTAGTCACACAGTTTAACACGATATACCGTTCTATGAAGTGCAGTTTAACACAATGTACCGTTCCAAGAAGTCGTCGTGTCGGTTTGCTTCCATAAACCTTAAGCTAGAAAATAAACAAATCGCGAGCAGCAAGAAACATGACGACAAGCCAAGCTTTTACCCTCCGTTCTAAACCGTTGCAAATTAAACACAACCACCATTCTCTGAAGAAGTCACGCAGTTTGACATGATACAAGAAATCACGCAGTTTAACACGATATACCATTCCAAGAAGTCAAGCACAAGAAGCAACAGCGTCGCGTCCGTTCCAAGAAGTCGTCGTGTCGTCAAGCAAGGCGAACAATAAAAAGTTAAACAAAAAAGAAAATAAAAGATAGTATGGGCTGGTGCAAAAAGATTGATACACCAATATAAAAATCAATAATTGCTTCTAATAAAAATCATTCAAATTTTAACTAATCTTTATAATTTTTTTATATTAAGTAAAGAACAATCTAAATTAACTTTTATACTATTTTAATTATTCTATTATACTTTAATTTAATAATAAATAAAGCATTACTTTACTAAAAAAACTAAAATAAAATTTTTTTTAAAAAAAAAGATAGTTTAAATATTATCACTATCAATTTGCAAGATTAGAACTTTAACTATGATAAATATATATTCTAAATTTCATAAAAATTGAATCAGTAGTTATAAAGATATTAAGATTCAAAGTTTAGTAAATTATTTACTATATAATTTTTATATTAATTTTAATCAAATATTAGTAAATTTTTTTTATAAAAGATATATAATAAAAATTTTTACATTCAAATAAATCCTAATACCTAATAACTTAATTAAATAAGACAGAATTAAATTTTAGTTTACGCTGCTCGCATTAAATTGTGATGATCTATGATATATTGGCCCAAATGATTATTCTTACAAATATGCTTTTTGTAAATGCAATGCAACTATAAGGTATACGTATATATAAATCGTATCTCAAAATAAAGATACAAAATTTTTTTCTGACGATTAAATTTCGTGCAATATTAATAAATATCAAACAAGAACAAAAGGTTTTAAAAATGTCTTTATTCAAAGAATCCATTTCCAATGACAACTTTCAACTCAGTTTGAAATACCATCTAATGATGTTTCTTTTTCAACAGATGTTTGATAGTGTTAGTCAAAGTTATAAACTATTTGTAAATGATAATGAAAGATTAAGTACTGTTGCCATCATTCCATTAAAATCCATAATTCCAGAAATCATGACGTTTCTACCAGCCCTTTTGAAGGACGAGAAAATTAACAAATCGGTAAAGCAAGGGCTCAATCTCAGCAGTTCTTGGCACTAAGACTACTCTACTGCTTACCATATTTATCCGTTTCTACCTTTTGCTTCCATCTTAATAATGAAACCAAGAATATATTGTATTCGAACATCTTCACTTTCAGTTAATTTCAAGTTCCACATTACTATATTATTTATTATAAAAATAGCAGATCTACCCTCGAAATCTCGACGCCCAAAAATTCCAAAATCCTGAACGTCCAAAACCCGAAAACCTAAAATCTCGAGATTTTCAAACCTAAATACATTCATTAATTAAATTTTCATATTATATAACTCGAGACTAAGCAAGCTCTACTTTATGGCGCTCAAAGCAGTTAATTCTTTTAGTGGTATACTGTTACCTCGCCGACCAGTCAGATTCAGACATTTAACTTAACACATTTTCACTAAAATTTGTTTAAAATAATTTTTATTTTTTTTTTATTAAAATAAATTTACATATTATAAATAGTATTACTATAAGTTATAATTACAATTACAGTGTTTTTTAGTTAAACTCTATGGTGATTGCATAATGTTTATTTGATCTATCTAATGCAAGTCATTATAATGTCTTTAATTTTAAGTATATTAAAAAAATGCACGATAAATTCAGTGCAATAAATGTTTGTTTTTAAGCAATTCATGCTTTTTTTAATAATGTCCATTTATGTTTTTGAATAAATGTTTTTAATGAATTAAAAATGTTCTTTGATTTTGTTGATTTATATATCTGCATGGCTTAGATAATGAATATGATCCTTGGATTTTGTTGGCTTGTATATTTGCATGACTTGCATAATGTATGTGATCATTTGATTTTGTTGACTTGCATATTTGCATGATTTGGATGATGTACATGATCACTTTGACTTGCATGTTTGATGATGAATGTGATCCTTTGATTTGCATGTTTGCATGATATGTATGATGTATGTGATCTTTTGATTTTGTTGATTTGCAATCACCATAGCATCCCATCCTCCTTTCCGTCCAATTCTCCAACCATCCTTCTCCCACCTAACCGTCCTTCCACTCCTTTCCGTCCAATCTGCCTTCTCCCCACCTAACCGTCTGGTTAGAAACACTCAAGCCCTACCAAGTGACAATTTCTTGTCACTTAATGAGGCTGGAGTCAGATACTGCCCCAACACATCGC